GAAGCCTGGCTCCCAACACAGTCAATATATTTACTCCTTTGCTCAACTCTACAATACTCATAAACTTGTTTCAGAATCATTATGCCCACACCACTATTAATAAACTTACTAACATATTAAGTCAAATTTAAGTTTTCTTTGCAGTTCTTTTGGACCTTTTGTCTTCAGACTGAGAGGAGTATAAGTATTGCAGGTAAAAATTACTTGGATTCTCTCTTTTCCACTTTTCTTTAATATGGTGGTTACCCATTTGATATGTAGTTAAGTTTGTTTGTTTCTGTTTGTTTCCAACTTTGAAGTTTAAAAAAAAATCCTTATTGATTTAACTTTTTGGCATTTTAATTATGATGTGTCTTGGTGTGAGTCTCTTTGGCTTCCTCTTGTTTGGGACTCTCTGTGCCTGCTGAACCTGGATGTCTGTTTCCTTCACCAGGTTGGGAAAGTTTTCAGCCATTTTTTATGTAGGTTTTCTATCTCTTTCTCTCTCACTTCTCCTTCTGGGACCCCTATGATTTCAACATTGTTACTCTTGATGTTGTTCAGAGGTCCCTTAAACTATCCTTATTTTTTAAATTCCTTTTTCCTTTTTGCTGTTCCAATTGGGTATCTTCTGCTATGTTGTCTTCCAAATTGCTGATTGAATCCTCTGCTTCATCTAGCCTGCTGTAGATTACATCTAATATAGTCTTCATCTCAGTTATTGTATTCCTTAATTTATGACTGGTTCTTTTTTATGTTTTTTCTTTGTTGAAGTTCTCACTGAGATCATTGATCATACTTATAACCAGTTTTGAACTCTTTATCTGATTAATTGCTTGTCTTTGTTACATTTAGTTCTTTTTCTGGGGTTTTGTCCTGATCTTCTGTTTGGAATATATTTTTTCTGTCTGCCTCTCTGTGTTTGTAGCTATGAATTTGGTGAAACCGCAACCTCTCCAAGTCTTGAGTGACCTTGTATAGGAGCTACCCCTTTGTAGACTACTTGTGACAGGTGTCTTTGGCAGGCCAGCTGGAGTGTGCATGGGCCACAAGGAGTCCTGGGGCAGAGGCAGGGGAGAGGAGAGCCAAGGCTTACCAGGGCTGAGAGCTGAGTATAGTAGCTGCATTGGGCTCAGGCCTCAGGTAGTCCCAAGGGCAAGCCACGCTGGGACCAGGAGCTGAAGCTGGAATGGGTGCAAGCTGTAGGGATTCCCACAGGTAAGCTGCTGGGGTTAGAGCTGAAGTGGGTTTAGCCTGAAGGAAGTTCAGGGGACAAGCTACAGCCAGGCAGGAGCTGTAGCTAGGGTGGTGTGAGCTGAAGGGAGTCCTGGGGGCAAGTCACTCAGCTGGCAGCTAGAGCTGGAGCATACTCTAGGGAGACCTGTTTCTGTGTGGTCTCGCTCTCTTGTTTTTTGTGCAGAAGCTGTTAAGCCAGCCCTCAGTTCTGCCTCAGGGGTAATTGCTCTGTCTGTAAGTGTAAATTTGATGTCTTCCTGGGAGGAGATGAGTTCAGGGTCTTCCTATGCTACCATCTTGGACTGGAAGCCTGCAACCAAAAGATCTTAATTGATACACATCCAATATGGGGAAGACAGTTAATTCTTCATGAGGAGTTAGCGTTTAAGCAGAAAGAAGTGGAATGCAAGCAGAGGACAAGAGCCTTTGGGGTTTAGGTCCATGGAGGGATGCTGGAGCTGGAGCTGGAGGGTAGGGGCTGGACCAGGAAGAGAGGGTCCCAAAGCTACTTTAGTGTATATTAACTTTGTTCTATAGAAGTGACAGTGTTGGTGTGGGTAAATCTGCCTGGGGAGAAATATCAGAATGATGGAAAGGAGGTAAGATGCTGGACGACCAGAACCTAAGCAGCAGCTTAGAGAAAACTGCCAAGAAAACTTTGAAATGGTCAGAGAAATGGGAGGGTATGTCAGCAGGAGAGCTCATGGAAGCCAAAGCTTTACAACAAAGACAGTGTGTGCAGCAGTGCCATGAAACCACAGAATCGGCAGGAAAGACTTTGGGAATATTAGGAAATTCTTGGTGGCCTTGGAGGGAGTCACCTCAGTGGAGTGGGGTAGAAGACATATTGCTGGGAATTAAGTAACAACATGTGATGAAGAAGTAAAGGCAATGTCTGCTGATTCTCCTTTTTAAATGTTTGATGGTGAAGGGAAGAAAAGACTGGGTCAGGAGTGTGAGAGACAGTGGAATTAAGAGAAGGCATGTTTAGCTTAGAGGAGATGCTAAAACAGTGCTACCAATAGAAATATATGAGGCACACATATGAGTTTAATTTTTCTAATTGTGACAATTAAAAAATAAAAAGAAACAGGTCACCTTATGCCCAGATCTTGGTTTCTAATACTATTCTCTAATAAAAGGGACTGGAGCCCCTTGGAGAAACGGTTGATTCTAGGACTAGATCAGGAAACACATAAAATGAGCTTTTTTTCTTTCTCTTTTTCTTTTTTTTTTTTTAGATGAGCTTTGAGTATCTTGTAGTGCCAGAGGACAAGAAGTTCTCAAAAACAAATAAACATACAAAAAAAATCATACAATAATAAGAGCCTATCAAAGGGACACAGGAGCTAACTGAAAGCACTCCAAGTGACCAAAACAGGAACAATTTGAGGAACAAAATAAAGTAGTATTAGGATACAAAGTATAAAATAAATATCCATGAGTCCATACTGATATAAAAATAAATGATTAATTAAGTAAATGGGGCAGAAGAGACAAATCTGTGCAGAATTTCAAATAGTTTATGTAGCTACTCCATCATTAATGAGTGGAAGCGTAACTCCTCACTCCCTAAGTGTGGGCTGTGCACAGTGACTTCTTTTCAAGGAGGACAAAGGTATAAGTAGCTTCACAGTGGAGAAACTTGACAAACACTACGTCAGCCAGGTGATCAAGGTTAACATCAACAATAATGTCATATTAATACTACATGCCCTTGATATGATGTGATAAGAACGGCACTTTTACACGTGGTCTTTCTCCCAAAAACTCATAACTTGTGTCTAATCATGAGAAAAACATCAGTCAAATTCCATTAGACGGACAGTCTACAAAACACTGACCAGAACTCCTCAAAACAATCAACGTCATCAATAACAAAGTCTGAGAAACTGTCACAGCCAAGAGAAGCCTAAGGAGACATGAAAACTGTATGTAATATGGTATTTTAGATGAGATTCTGGGATAGACAAAAGACATTGGGCCACGGCGGGTGTGGTTCAGTTGCTTGGAGCATTGTCCCATAGTTGAAAGGTTGTGGATTCGATCCCTGGTCACGGCACATACCTAGCTTGCAGGTTTGATCCCTTGTAGTGGCATGTATGGGAGGCGCCTGGTCAACGTTTCTCTCTCACATCAATGTTTCTCTCTTTCTCTCCCTCCCCCTTCCTCTCTCTCTAAAAGCAATAAAAAAAGGTCCTCATCCGTGTAAATTATGGATTTGTATCTATATCAGTGTACCTGTTACCCACTCATCTTAAGGAGGGGGGATTTTTCTAGGTCAAGTCAACTCTGGCACAACTGGCTGTCTAGCACCACATCAATTTGTGCCTCATTCGTTCATTCCTTCACTCACTTAACATATATTTATTAGGTCCTTATTGTGAGAAACACTGGTCTAGGAGGTAAGGATAGATAAGTGCTAACACAGACAAGGGTTTACCCTCATAGAGCTCGCTGGGGAGACAGAATAAATCACAATCATATATGTAATAGGTGCAATGAAGAAAATAAAAAATAGATGATGTGATTCAATGTGAGGGGGTGAGGAGGGGTCCCACTAAAAATGCACATACGGCCCTGGCTGGGTGGCTCTGTTGGTTAGAGCGTCATCTTGTGCACCAAAAGGGTGTGAGTTTGATTCCCGGTCAGGGCACATACCTAGGTTGTGGATTTGACCCCTGGCTGAGGTGCCTACAGAAGGCAACCAACCCATTGATGTTTCTCTCTCACATCGATGTTTCTCTCTCTCTCTAAAAATATCAATAAACATATCCTTGGGTGAGGATTAAAAAAAAAAAAGAATAAAAGATCACTTAAGAACTAATCAAGAGCTACAGGAGTTAGTTAAATCTTTAAATAAGTCAGTAATTTTAAAGTAGACTAGAGTTAACACTATTTCAAAATGCTGACAATGTGCTGTTAGTGTTAGACTACATAGACTGAAATACTCCATTCCACGGAGGCCGGTCTAGTTCAATACTTGCGATATACATGGGTTTATTCAACCAACCTTTTATGTACCAGTAATCACATGGGTGCTGCAGACACAGAGACTAGTACTATACAACCCTTGCTCTCCCTGGGGTTAGGCTGGGGATACCCTTCTATAAATGAATCATTACAACGAATACATGAAAGGCCGGTCATTGGAAACAAAGTTTGAGCTCTTCTTCACATCATGTGCCAAAGTGAATTCTAAACAGAGGAAAGATTTAAGTGTGAAAAAATGAAGCCATAGTGACTTCTGTATTGTAGAAATGTGAAGGGGTTTCCAAACCTGACTCCAAAGCCAGAAATGGTTAAAGATTAAAAAAATGAAAACACCATGCTCTCCAAAACAACTATTAACCATATTAAAAAGCAACAATAAACGAGAAAAAATGGCAATATCTAAGACAAGCGTGTATAATGTTAACATATAGAGTAGTAAGAGAAAGACAGTTTAAGAATGAGCAAAAGACATTAACAAGTTATAACAGAAAAAATACAAATGACCAATGAACATATGAAGGTATTCAACCTCAATAACATATGAAATTAAATCACCAGGAAATCCCATTGTTTGCTATCAGATGTGCAAAAATTGAAAGAAAAAAGGGAAGACCTACCAAGAAGTGGATAAATAAGTTGCCACTTTCGGGCTCCTCCTCCCTTCTCCTCCCTCCCGAAACTACCGGGAATTGACACTGGCCTTGAAAGAGTCGGAGGGACAATAGGGCTTCCGGGTCCCGCACATCCTTACCTTTTGACCCCGGAAGTCTGGGCAGGCGGCTGCGCAAAGCCGGGTGCGAGTCGCGACAGAGACGTAAAGGCTCGTGGGAGCGGTGAATGGCGCTGTACGCGGCCGCCGCGGCCGTGCTGGCAGGGGTTGAGAGCCGCCAGGGCTCTATCAAGGGGCTGGTATATGGTAGCAGTTTCCAGGTAACGGGGTTCAGGATTTGGGTGGGGTGTGGGCTAGTCTGGGCCGCACCCCCGCCTCAGATTGTGTCCCTTTGGCCGCGCGCAGAACGTGAAGCAGCTGTACGCGCTGGTGTGCGAGACGCAGCGCTACTCCTCCGTGCTGGATACCGTGATCGCCAGCGCCGGTCTCCTCCGCACCGAGAAGAAGCTGCGGCCGCACCTGGCCAAGGTGACCCTTGGGGTGGGATTGGACGAGGCCTGGCAGTGAGTCCCGACTAATCTGGTCCCAGCTACGTACCGTCTGCGCCGTTACGGAGTCACTCCTCTAAAATGAGGATGCGCAGCCCCTTTCTGAGTTGTGAATTGAAGTGGGATGAAAATGCTTTAATTTTGATCCTCTTGTGAAAGATTAAATAAGAGCAAAAGCACCAAATAGCAATGGCAGGGACTCTTTGGGTAAAACAAAAGGGTGATGTTGACGAGAAGAAGGGTTGAGGTCTTGAGCTCTGCTGGTGGAAAGGATTCAGGACTGGGGAAGCGAGACATCAGGCTCAAATCCTATATCTGCCATTAATTTTGTGTGCTCTTGGACAAGGTACCGCATGTTTACCTGTTACTGCCTGGACAGGTGGTCTGTTTAGCACTTGCAGTTCCAACACTATGGAATTTGGAGGCATTAATGCTTAGATTTTTTTCTTGGTCTCTCCGTCCCCAGGTTTTAGTGTATGAGTTGTTGCTGGGAAAAGGCTTTAGAGGGCGAGGGGGCAGATGGAAGTCTTTGCTGGACCGGCATCAGGCAAGGCTGAAGGCTGAGTTGGCCCGGCTGAAGGTTCGTCGAGGTGTGAGCCGGAATGAGGATTTGTTGGAAATGGGATGCGGGCCTGACCCAGGTGAGCTGAGTTCTGGGGGTGGGGGGAAGGCCATGTTTCCACCTACTCACCGCTGATTGCTTCCTAGCCTCCCAGGTGCCTCGATTTGTGCGGGTGAACACTCTCAAGACCTGCTGTGATGATGTAATTGATTATTTCAAGAGACAAGGTTTCTCCTACCAGGGTCGGGCTTCCAGGTGAGCTTAGAACCCTGCCCAGGTGCCCTTATCTAGGGAGGTGCTTGGGGGCCCTGGGGAAATGGATGGGAAGAGAGAGGAGGGGTGGTTGTGACTGCACTTAGGTTTTCTTCCTGCTTTTACAGCGGTCTCTCCATCCCCTTCCAAGGCCTGTCTTCCTCCATCCCTTAAACATTGATTGTTTTGGGAGTCCCATGGACATTTTTCTGATGTACCTACCCCTCAATTTCTTCTCTAGCTCTAACTTCTAATTCTCACCTGACTATTCTTGTCTCCCAGTCTAGGCTTCTCTTGTATTTATACCCTCAGGTTCATATCAGTGCTTCACAGACACCACAGTCCTAACATGTGTCAAACTGAATTCATCCATCCTCTGAACTTGGCACCGTTTTTTGTTGTTGTTCAGTTACGTTGATTCAAAATTCAAAATTTAAAAGTAATTCTTTAAAAAATATGCCTAAACAAGTTATTGGATTATGTTGCAGCATTCCTTTTTAAAGTTGAGGTTTAATTGACATGTAACATTATGTCAGTTTCAGAGGTACAATGAAATGACTTGATATTCATATCTATTACAAAATGATCACTATAATAAGTCTAGTTAACATATGCCACCATATATAAAACATCTTTTTTACTTATGAGAACTTTTAAGATTTATTCTCTCAGCAACTTTTGAATATGTAATACAGTATTATTAACTGTAGTCACCACACTGTACATTACATCCTCATGACTCACTTAATAATTGGAAATTTGACTCTCTTCACCCATTTTGCCCCACCGTCCCCCCGCCACAGATGTGCTCTTTGTATCTCTGAGCTCTGTTTTTTTTGTGTGTGTTTTAAGATTCCACATATGAGATCATATGATATTTGTCTTTCTCTATCTGACTTCGCCTGTAAAGTCCATCCATCTTGTCAAAAATGGCAAGGTATCAATGTACACTAAAAAAGAAGAAAGAAAATGGCAAGCTTTGATTACTTTTTATAACTGAATAATATTCCTGTATGTGTGTGTGTGTGTCACATTTTCTTTATTTATTCATCCATTGATGGACATGTAGGGTGTTTCCCTGTCTCAGCTGTTGTAAATAATGCTGCAGTGAACATGGGGGTGCATGTATCTTTTTGAATTAGTGTGTTCATTTCCTTTAAGTAAATGCTCAGAAGTGAAATTGCTGGGTCATATGGTAGCTCTATTTTTAAATTTTTATGGAACCTCTATATTTAGTTTCCCATACAGAATTTACATTCCCACCAGCAGTGCACAAGAGTTACTTTTCTCCACATCCTTGCCAATACTTGTTATTTCTTGTCTTTTTGATAATACCCATTTTAACAGGTGTGAGATGATATCTCATTGTGGTTTTATTTGCATTTCCCTGATGATTAATGATGTTGAGCCTCTTTTCATATACGTGTTGGCCATCTGTATGTCTTGGGGAAAACGTTCAGATCCTCTGCTCATTTTTTAATTGGATTGTTGTTGCTGTTTTCCTGTTGAATGTTGTGAATTCTTTATGTATTTTGGATATTAAATTCTTATATGACTTGCACATATTTTCTTCCATTCAGCAGGTTGCCTCTTCATTTTGTTGATGGTTTCTTTTGCTGGGCAGCTTTTTAGTTTGTTATAGTCCTACTTTTGGTTTTTGAATCCGAAAAATTACTACTAACACCAGTGTCAAAGAGCTTACCATTATGTTTTCTTCTAAGAGTTTTATGGTTCTTGGTCTTACATTGAAGTCTTTAAACCATTTTGAGTTGATTTTTGTATTTGGTATAAGGGAGTGGTCCAGTTTCATTCTTTTGCATATGGCTGTCCAGTTTTCCCAACACCGTTTATTAAAAAGACTGCCCTTTCCCCATTGTAACATTCTTGATTCTTTTGTCATAAATTACATGTGGATTTATTTCTGAGCTCTCTGTACTGTTTCATTGATCTATATGTCAGTTTTTATGCCAATACCATACTGTTCTTGATTACTGTAGCCTTGTAATATCTTGTTAAATCAGGGAATGTGATGCCTCCAGCTTTGTTCTTCTTTCTGAAGATTGCTTTGGCTATTTGGGTCTTTTGTAGTACCATACAAACCTTAGGATTATTTGTTCTATTTCTGTGAAAAATGCCTTTGGAATTTTGATAGATATTGCACGATTGCACGTGGAGATTACTTTGGGAAACACGGACATTGCAACAGTATTCCAATCCATGAAGATGGAATATCTTTCCATTTATTTATATTTTTAATTTCTTTCATTAATATCTTATATAGTTCTCAGTGTACAGGTTTTTCACCTCCTCAGTTTATTCTTGATTTATTCTGAGGTGTTTTATTCTTTTTGATGTAATTGTAAATGGGCTTGTTTTTAAATTTGGTAGCTCATTATTAGTGTATTGAAATGCAACATTATTTTTGTGTGTTGATTTTGTATCCTGCAACATTACTGATTTTGTTTACTAATTCTAAGAGTCTTTTGGTGGAGTCTTTAGGGTTTTTTATATACATGTAATTTGTAAATAATGACAATTATACTTCTTCCTTTCCAATTTAGATGCCTTTATTTCTTTTCTTGCCTAATTGCTCTGGCTGGGACTTCCATACTGTGTTGAATAAAAGTGGCCTTGTTCCTAATTTTAGAGGAAAACCTTTCAGCTTCTCACCATTGAGTATGGTAGAGTTGTGGGCTTGTCCTATATGGCCTTTATTATGTTGAGGTACATTCCCTTTATACCAATTTTGTTTATAGAGTTTTTTTAAATAAATAGATGTTGAATTTTGTCAAATGCTTTTGCTGTATCTATTGAGTTATTATTTTTATCCTTCATTTTGTTAATGTGATGGATGTATCACATTGATTAATTTGAACCATCCTTGCATCTCTGAACTTTCCACCTTCTGCATTCCCTATTTTAACCTAACAAATATAATTATGTACCCATTTGGTCAGATCAGAAACTGAGTCATCTTAGATGCTTTCTTCCTCTCCCTCCAGTCATTCACTGTTCTGCTTTCAGCATCTTTCTCAAGTCTGCTCCTTCCTCTCTGTCCTCCTGGGCATTACCTAGGTGTAGGCACTCATTTCCTACCGTGATTGGCAGAAGAATCTCCTAATTTAGTTGGCTACAGAAAGATCTGAAACCATAACTGATGCATTACTCCCCTGATGAAAACCCTCTGTTGGCTCTCCACTGTGCTCTGCCCCCTCTTCCTCTCCCGGCCCATCTGCCATGGTGCTCTGTGCACCTGTTGTTCCCACAATAGTTGCTGCTCTCTGCCCTGATACCTCCCCACCTCTTTCCTGGGTTTACTCCTTCTTCCAGTTCTGCCCTTTGACAGCTCTGCAAAGCCACCTCTGCCTCCTCCCTTTCCCCTGATCTGTTTTAGGTGTTTCTCCTTTGGCCTCTAGCATGTTGCTTGGAGACCAGGGAATGGTAGAGAATGGCTGTGTATGAGTTTGAATTCCAGCTCTGCTACTTGATACCTTTCTGAACTGAGACAGTATTCTCTAGGCCTGTTTCTATGTGGGTCAGGTGGAGTGGACAGTGTTCCTTAACAGAGTTTAGCAAATAGTTTTCATCCCAGCTCCTCACGTTACTAACTTATCCATCAGGAGTCAGCTTATCTCCCCTGGACTGCCCCCTTCACCCCCAAACCTCTCCTTGTGGTGGTTTTAGCAGTAATGGCTAACATTTATTGAGTGACTAATTTGTGCCATATATTTTTTGAAGTATTTTGTATGTATTAACTCGATCCTCACAGCTACTGTTTTCTAGAAGTGCAAACAGGCTGCGATAAAGGGATTTGCTCATGCTCCCACTGCTGGTAAATGGCAGCGGTGGGACCCTGAAACTGGAGTCTGGTCTGAGAACACAGACTGTGTTATTACCCCATTTATTTCATAGCAATCTTAAACATCTGTTGCATGAATGAATAGTTAATATGTGAGGTAACATGTAAAATGCCCAGCCTGGTGCACCACATGGAAGAATTCAGAAAATGTTGAATGAATGGTTCTTACTCCCTGGCAGCCTGGAGGACCTAAGGGCCCTCAAAGGGAAGTGTTTTCTTCTGGATCTCTTGTTGCCAGAGCTGCTTGTGTTTCCTGCCCAAACGGATCTGCATGAACATCCCCTATACCAAGCCGGTCACCTCATCTTACAAGACAAGGTAGGGGAGGTGGGTGGAAAAGGGAAGGATCTGTGGGAGTGACCAACCTGGGGAGTCTCTGTTCACCCAGCCGCTGTACTCTGCCCTGCAGGCTAGCTGTCTCCCAGCCATGCTGCTGGCCCCTCCCCCGGGTTCCCATGTCATTGATGCGTGTGCTGCTCCAGGCAATAAGACCAGTCACTTGGCTGCCCTTCTGAAGAACCAAGGGTGAGTGCCATGGTCAGACAGAGGAAGGGCAAGGGGCCTGGTCCTGCAGCTGATGGAAAGAAATGAGGAACTCGTTTTTCTGATAGGTCTCAAGGCTGAAAGGAAAATTTTTATTTAAATATTTCCTTCTGGACCTGGGACAGTTCCTGATACAACCCCAAGCTAAGCTTCCCAGTGGGTTGCAGGTGTGAGGTGTGAATTTCTTAGTCTTTGCAAGCTGTTAAATGTTACCTTCTGCATGTCCTGACTTAATGTGCATGTTGGTATGTCAGAGGTGTGGTCCATTACATGCTATATAATGTCAGTTAACCTCAACTCTGTCCCTAGGAAGATCTTTGCCTTCGACCTGGATGCCAAGCGGTTGGCGTCTATGGCTACTCTGCTGGCCCGGGCTGGAGTCTCTTGCTGCCAGCTGGCCGAGGAAGACTTCCTGGCAGTTTCACCCTCAGACCAGCGTTATCGTCAGGTCCAGTACATTTTGCTGGATCCTTCTTGTAGTGGCTCTGGTGAGATGGGGAGAAATAGTGGCCTAGGGAAGCCATAGTCAGAAGGCTTAGAGCAGAAGGGGTAGTTCATTTGGGTCTAGGGTTTAGTTCCAACTCAAATCATCTTGTGACCCTGACGTGGGGGTTTCAGTATGAAATAAAACAATTTGCAATTAAAACACTTTTTCCCTAGGTATGTTGACCAGACAGCTGGAGGAACCCGAGACAGGTAAACCCAGCAAGGAGCGCTTACGGGCCCTGGCAGCATTCCAGCAGCGAGCTTTGTGCCATGCGCTCACATTCCCATCCCTTCAGCGCTTGGTCTACTCCACATGTTCCCTTTGTCAAGAGGAGAACGAAGATGTGGTACAGGATGCCCTGCAGCAGAGCTCAGGAACCTTCAGGTAGTAGGTTTCCACTAGGGTCTTAGGTTGGGGGCTACTCTCATTTACCTAGAAGTCTGCTATTTCTTTTCTGCAGACTAGCTCCTATCCTACCCTCCTGGCCCCACCGAGGCCTTAACACCTTTCCAGGGGCTGAGCACTGCCTCCGGGCCTCCCCTGAGACCACGCTCACTGGTGGCTTCTTCATTGCTGTGCTCGAACGGGTAGAGGTGCCAAGGTGAGCGGGGAGCCTGCTGGGAAGGTGCTGGAAGATTGGGACACATCTAACTTGTACTTTTCTTCTAGCTCAGTCTCACAGGCTGAAGTATCGGCACCAGAACTTAGACCCAGCTCTGCTCCAAAGAGAAAGAAGAGGCAGCGAAAAGCAGCAGCTGCTCCTAGCCTCCTACCTTACACATAGCAAGTACTCAAAGCTTTTAACTTCTTGGGTGGGAGGAGAGGAAGGCACTGGTTCCCCCCTGTGCCCCAGGCAGCAGTGTTGTTTTTTGAAAGGCTTTGTTTTTGTTGCTATAGGAAGGAAACTGATAACCCTGTTTCTCAAGCTGGAAAGATAAGAGTGGATTTTCTCATCCTTTGAGTCCCTTCCCTGGGCCACATTCTTGCTGGTGAGAGAAGTGTGACCCACCCCCACCAAAGAAATAAAAGGCGCAGGACATGGTCTACGATAGATCACAGTTTTTTATTCTTAATGACATAAGCAAGGTGGGGGGGAATCTCACATTCATACTAAAAATTCCAACTAGACTCACAGGAATTAAGTCTGTCTTTGTAATGGAAAGTCCCAGTGCACGTACATGTACACACACACACACACACTCACTCTGGCTGAGCCAGGACACCCTCTTCAGGGGGTTCCTGGACCAACTGTCCTGCCTGTGGAACTGAGGTAAACTAGCTTAGAGTCCTAAAACTACGAGGGTCTACCTTACATAAGGTATAGGTAGAAGCTTGATTTCTAGGCCCGTGCCCCACCCCACCCTTCCAATTCTAGTAGGTATTTGGGACTTGAGGTTCAGGCTCCCTCCTCAGCTCCACAGACAGTTAAGTAGTAACAGAGCTCTTCTTGGGGGTGGGAGAAACAGTCAGTCCCCTGCCACAAAACATTCAAAACTCAGTCACAGAAGGGGGAGGGGGATTGGTTACACCTAAGTCACATTATTTATAAAATAAGAATTACATTTTACATAATGTGTCCAGAAAGAGCTCTAGTCCCTCAGGAAAGCTGCCTGGGATAGCACTGGAGCCTCTTCTTCACACAGGCATAACTTAACTATACAGCTAATTCCTAGTCAACAGCATTTATACTTAACCACCTCAATGAACCAAGCTTGAAGGAATTTAAAAGGCAATTTAGCTTAAATACAAAAATAAATTTTTATTTTGTTAAAAAATGTTTAAATATTTTTTCTTTTAATTTAGACACACACATTCATACTTCTCCCAAAGAGGATGGGCATGGCAGCAAGGCTCTTAGACCTGGGGTATGTGGTTTTGAAACAAAGAAAAGAAGGGTTGGAGGCCCTGTTTGCGGGGGCGGGGGGGGGGGCGGGATGACGACTAAGAATGTAAAGTCTGGTTCATTAATTTAGGTTTTTCTAACATACACTAGGGGTGATCTGACCTCCTGGGAGGTCAGGTGGTTAGGAGAGAGAAACAGCAGAGGGAAGAGGTCTTTGCTTCCCCTTGGCCCTATCCTCCTGGGCTGCCAGCCCGTAAAGTCAAAACACCATTTGGAAATCCAGGAGTTGGCACCTGTAGCCATAAAGTGGTGCTACTTTCCACATTCAATTAGCTAAGTCCCAGAAACTTGAAACAGTTAAGTCCGGCACTACCAACATGCCGCCACTCATACAATTCAATTCTTCCTCCAAACTCGATTCAAAGAGCAATAGACATGAGCATCAGACAAAATAACACAGGACAAGGCTTTAAACATACAATCCTGGAGAGGCAGACATGCCCAATGAGGCCAGCGGGAGTGGTGAGCGAGGAGGCAGCTGAAAGCGGCGGTGGGCATCCTGCCTACTCCAGGAGCTTCCCTCCCTGGAGCGAGGGATCACCCCTGGATCTGCCAGGCTTAACAGTCTTGAGCCACCAAGCTTTTAGGGGCCAAACTGGCAGATAGGGTTGGGGACAAAACAGACTCAGACTTGGCAGGAGGAAGTGAAACAGCAGGAGCAGCATCCACTGGAGTCTTCAAGGCAAAGCTTGATTCAAGATCATTTAAAAAGCAATAGATCCTGCAAGGAACCAGTCAAAGGACAAAGCAGCAAGAAATGGGGAAACAGTCCCCTAAAGGGATCAGAGAACCACTTTTTAGCTAAGCCAAGCAAAGTAAAGCTTTAGGGATAGTTCATTTCCCCCAGTCCCATCAAATGCAAACCAGAGAGGCAGGTGGGCAGGGCTCTACCTGCTACCCTCCAGCGAAGATGGCGCTCTGGGGAAAAGGCGGGAAGGGAGGCCACCTGACTAAGCTTACGCACTAAACAAGTCAGGGAAGTTAAGTGAACAATATGTACAGATGTTTCTTCAGTTCTCTCCAGCCTCACCAGTGGAATTGTTCAAGTAAAGGTATCAGGCTTCTGCCCTGCCACCCCCTCCCCCAAGAGGCCTGAGGCTTCTGCTTCCTGTAAGAGAGGGAAATGGCCCCCAGGGCAGCTGCTACCTCCCTGGTAGCTGAAGCCAGAGGTCTGGGGTAGGTTGCTTTATGGAACTATGAATTAGCGGCTCTTCCCTAGCAAGGTGCCACGGTCCAGATTTGGGCAAGGGGTGAGGGAAATGGAGGCAAGGGACAAAGTCTATTTCTTGCGGGTGTGCTGCCTTCGGGCCTGCAGTCGCTGTCGAGCCCCTGGCGTCTTGGATCCTGCACCAATGGAAAATGAAGGGGCCGCCGATCCTGTAAAGATTGAACAAGATCTGATGAGGGCAGCTGCTACCTGAACACTTGTTTGGGTGCGCTAATCTCTGGAAGGAGAGGCCCAGAGAACTCTGGGTGCTTGAATAGGACTTCCCAAGCTCTATTAATTGCTTTCGTGGAGGGGACTATTGAAAAGGCAAAACCCCAGAATCACAGTCTTTGGGAGGCCCAAGAAGGCATTTTTACCTGGCTTTCCAGTGATCTGGGACACTGCCCCAAAGGCCCCCCTGCTCCATGTTGCCACCTACAAACCTGGGTTTTGCTAGACTCACAGCCTGGCCACATTTTTCTGATGCTGATGAACCTGATCTTCCCCAGAAGCCCTCCGAGAATCAGGAACCTGCCAGCCCAGCCTAGCCCCTCTTCAGAGAGGAATAAGCAGGTCACGCTGGCAACAAACTTGCCAAGCTTACCGAAAGGTCCAACTCCAACAAAGCCTTGGGTGGGTGTTGAGGATGCCCCAAAGGAGAGGCTGCTGCCTGATGTGCCCACTCCAGGTGCCGGGGTGTTTTGACCAAAGGTGGGCGTGGAGGTGCCTAGAATGAAAAGAGAACAGAGAACTGTACAGACTAGGCCACTGAGTAGAGGGCATCAAAGCAGATGGTAATGAACCTTGCAGGAGAGATGGCTCTCTGAAGGGGCACTCCCCACAGGACACCTTAGCCCTGAACCACTGTTCTGGTTCATCCACCAAAAGGAATTGCACAGGATAATTAAGTCTTAACATCTGGTGCTCCAGGTGAACCTGCCTGTCTCCCAGCCTCCTAACCACTGTCCTGCAGCATACAAAAAGCTCCTCAGTGTTGCCTTGTGGCCACTAATTAGTAGAGCCCCTGCCCTCATCAAAGCATAGCAAAGTGACACTCAGTGAACTTCCATCCATTTTCTAGCTTGATTAATCATCTACCAGGATTAATCATGCTAAGCCTCTTTTCTGTTTATCTTTCCCTCCTCTCCAGAAGCCTGAGTGTTCCACCAAATTCACCACCACTCCAATCCATCCTCTAGGTCCCTTATCTGCCCATGGGGCCCCGCTGGAACTCAGTCATCAACACTCTTGCCCTCACTGAATCCTCATGTGCAACACCGATGATGCTCTCTACAGCGCCTCAGGGAAGGCTGCATTCTCTCATGTGCACTCGTCTCATCCTGATGTGGCATAGGTATCATTCATCATTGCCCTCTGAGGCCCTGACCATGCCACCCTAATCTATTCCTCCACTCAGCCTCCACCACACATTTCTATGGTCACTACTAGGACCTGCTCTGCTCCCAAACCTTAACTGCAACTACTGCATTCTATCTTCCAGCTCACTGTTCCTAGTAGTTCTGCTTTTCCTTAACCTCACCAAGACCTCCAAGTCCACTGCTCCTCCTGCTATATACTTGCTTCAGTTTCAATAGGTTGGCTTTTACCAGCTATCCACTTCTTTTAGGTCTACACCCCAATGACTGAATGTTTCTAAAGAAAAAACAAAAGTGCTAACTGGCCTCACTTTAAATTTATAATCACAATTTTCCTGGCAGTTCTGTTACACTTCCTCATTAGTTCCTTTTCCATGCTCCAAAATGACTACTTTAAGAGGCCCTCCTTTGTACACATTTCACCCTAATTTGCTCCCCAAGAGCTCTATTTAACAAATAGAAGCTATCAGGATGGAAACTCCTAACTCATCTTTTTCACATGAAAAGATCACTTCAATCTTCTGCTCGAAATTCTACAGTGATTTCCCTTAGTACCTAAAATCCAAACACTTAATCCTGGCCATGAGAGATCTTCAACACTGCCTGCCTCTCAACCTTTTTATACCATTTCCATTTTTAAACGTCTTGCCACACCTTTTCTGCTCACACCAGCTTGTCTCTAGCTAGGGCCGTTGCCCTAGCTACCTCCTTTGGCCTGCAAAGCTCTCACACCCCCCTACCCACCCAGAATCACAACCCTTTTTTTGGTCACAGTCTTGGCTCTTAATTTTTATTTCCTCAGAAAGACCTTCCTTGATTATCTAAATAGCTCCTCCACATTCAATAATTACTTATTTTATGAAGATACTTATCACTACCTGACATAGTATTTATATATTTAACTCCTGTCTCTTCACAACAATGTAAAAACTAACAGTGGACACTATGCTGGCACTTAAAACAGTGCCTGGCGCTGTAGACCAAATCAATTCCTAATCTCACCTCCAAACACAGGCAGCTTGCTCTCAGGTGTGCTGGCCGCATTGAAGGCAAAGGGTGTGCTCTGGCTGGGTGCGCCCAGTGTGTTCTGACTCAAGCCTCCCCCAAAGGGGGTGGTGCTGCCAGTGGTCCCACTCTGTCCTCCTCCAAAGTTGAATGCTCCAGAGGTAGAGCTGGTGCCTGGGGTAGCCACATTGATCCCAAAACCCCCGCTGCCAGATGGGGATGCCAAGCTCCCAAACGTGAATGGTGATGGTGCTGTGCTGCCAAACATTGAGCTACTGGTCCCGCTGCTGGTGGTCTGGGTTGTAGCTCCAAAGCCAGAACTGGTGGCTGCACCAAACGAGAAAACAGCTGTGGTACTGCCAAAGGCGGGCTGGGTGCTGGCAGGGGTGCCAAAGACAGAGGCTGTGGGTTTCAAACCACCAAAAGCTGATTGCGCAGTGTTACCGAAGGCTGTTTGGGTTGGAGTTGGTGCTAGAGTTGCAGCTGGGGCTGGTGCTGCAGAGTTTCCAAAAGTGAAAGAGTTGCCAAAGGTGGGGGCGAGGGCTGGTTTGGTAGACCCC